CTTTTTTTCCGTCTTTAGCGTCGATAAGCGTATGGGAGTCGATGGGATAGCGCCGATCTAGCGTCGCTTAGCGTTGATCAGCTTCGATATTGCGTCGGCAAGCCTCGATTCTTCAGAGCCGACAGTATAGTATGGGAGGCTCACATGAGTTGCCACCGAACTGAGCTACTCGTGTAGCTACAACTCGCTACTGCGCTGCCTGCCGTGGCTTTGACCGCGACGAATTCATTGTCGCTGCGACCAAAATGCTGTCATCCCACATAACAAGGATGAACAATTGTCCAAAACCACCCTTGCATCTCCCCCCTTCGGCCCATCCGTGCCGCGCTCGCGGGCCGCGCCCCGCTGGCAAAGTGTCGGCATGACCCTCCAAGGCCCGTGCATCATTACCGCGTACCCTTCTTACACGGGTTGACTGTATCACGCACTTGGAGGTGCCATGCCTGTTTTGGGGATCATACTTGTTTACCTCGGGACACTCTAGCCCACCCGCCCCTTCTTTCGCAAACTTCCGCTCCTGGAAACAGGTTGTTGTTTGAGCTGCGCTGGACAGGGATGTTGTTTCTTTCGTGAAAGTGTTCCGAGGGGCTCACGCAAGAAGATGTTGAAGGTCACGGTTGGCCGAGAACGCCCCGCATTTCCACCCGTGACACGATGAGATGTCCATTGTCAGCGACGGAGGGGTGTTCTGGCAGTCGAGAAAGTTGTTTTAAGATTTCAGGTTCGCGCATTGCGCACAGTCAAAAACCTAATAAGGACGCGCGACTTTGCTCAGGGTACCCTTGCGTCTTTGCTCTTCCTTGCTCTTGCGTCCTTGGGGTTTCCGTCGCCCGCCGCCCCAAAAGTCCCAACTTCGGCTTCCAAGGGTCTTGCGTCCTTACCGCGCGTCCTTATTAGGGTTTTTGACTGTATGGCTTCCACGCGCTGCTCGCACTTCGGCGACCAGACTGAGCCCGGGTGGCCAGAGACCCCTACCAGCCTGGAACATATCCCCATCCCTATGTTGGGCACCTCCTCATCACGATGCCAATCTGAGGGATTCCCTTATTCAATCGCTTCGCTCACTCCGCCGGCCCGTATTGCATGATCGCTACTGCTTCGGCGCGGGCTCGGGGCCATTTCGGCGCCGCCGGAAGGAGGAAGATGAGGATGGGGAGGGGGAGGGGAGGAGGAGAAGAGGATGAGAAGGAACGGAGGATAATGAAAACAAATATGAGGAGGAGGAGGAGGAAGAGAAAAGGGCGGAGGAGGAAGCCTCTCGATGGCATCTTGCGGCGCTCTTCGGGCCAAACAGGGCCGTCGTCCATATGCTTCTTTAGGAGGCCCTGGGGTCTGTTGAGAGGCCGTTCGGGGGCGCCTGGGAGACATTTTTGAAGCCTTCTAGGGCCTCGTTTGAGCCTCCTTGGAGCCTCCTTGGGTTTCTTGGGGGCCTCTTGGCGGCATATTGGGCCATCTTGTGGGCCTCTCGGGGCCTCCTGGGGCCCTCTTGGGGCGGAAGGTTTGAGGTTTCGGTTCGTGATCCCCATATTGGGCCCCTCTTGGGGCCGTCTTGGGGCTCTCTTGGGCCGTCTTGGGCGTCTCTTGGGCTGTCTCGGGGCCCGTTTGGGCTCTCTGGGAGCCTTCTTGGGGGCCTCTTGAGCAGTCTTCGTGCGCTCTTGGGGGCCTCTTGGGTCGTCTTGGAGCATCGGAAAGCCGAAAATGCGACAAGGCCAAAATCCTTCCCAAACCATCGTAAACTTTATGATTTTGACCTCTCCGGGCGCTCTTGTGAGGCCTCTTGGAGGCCACTTGGAGCGTCTTGGCGGCTTCTTGGGCCGTCTTGGGATCATCTTCGGCGTCTTGGAGCGTCCTTTGGGCGTCTCGGGGGCCTCTTGGGCAGTCTTGGGGGCCTCTTGGGGCCCTCTTGGCGCGCTCTGGGGGGCCTGAGAGGCCGTACCCAGGAGGAAAACCATCTCTGAGTAGACCTTTCCGGGCTGCGGTCAGGGTACTTTTCGCCAGGGGACCCCCAGGGGCCGCCCCGCGCGCGCGAACTAGAAATACTGTTAAGTAGTTACCGGAGATTTTAGCACGCCTCTGGCCCGTTGGGCCGGCGAATTTTTTGAGGGCGAATCCCTAAGATTGTCATCGCCTTTTGGCGTGTCCATCTTCGGGATAGGTATACGTTCGAGGCTGGTAAGATCCGGAGCAGCTGCGTTCGATGCTTCTCGGGCAGATCTTGAGGGTCGACGGAGTGCGCCCCCGGCCTCGAGAGGGAGGTCGTGCACGGCCGCGGGGGAGGTGGGCGGGCTGTGCCCAGGGTGGGGGGCTACACCCTTCGTACGAGACGTAGCAGCAGCCACGGATCTGAGGAGTGATAGCACGCCACCACCACCACCACTTCTTGGCACCACCTCGAGGGAGGTCGTGCACGGCCGCGGGGGAGGTGGGCGGGATGCTCGGGGTGGGGGGCTACAGCCCTCGTGCGAGACGTCGCACTTGGCATCGCTGGGACGTGTGCATTGTTCCTCCAGCGAGGACCATCGAGGAGCATCCTTGATGATTTGGCGAAAAAGCCACGCACGAAACCCCACAAACACAGGGAATGGACGTCCGAGCGATGGCCAGAGCAGCAGCCACGGATTTGGAGAGTGATAGCACACCACCACCACCACCACTTCCTGGCCCCCCCCCCACACCGAACATGTCACGGCTTACGCGTCTGACAGCATGTTCAGAGCCAGTCCAGTTCATCTTTGCCCAGTCCAGCTCAGCGCACCTCCCCCCCAGGATCCTCAGGCCCCAGCCAGGGAGTCAGCAGTCCGAGGAGGGGGGTGCCAGGTGGTGGTGGTGGTGGTGGTGTATACTTTCTGTAGCGCTTTTGCGAGACATCCTAGCGATCGGTTTCCGAGAGATTTTTGGGGCGAGATCGAAATCAGAGAAGTCGAGGACCGACTCCTTGTGTCCCGAGGCGCAGCGACACGCCGGGCTCGCACTTCAGGGCGACGATGGGGCCCAGCGTAAATGTCAGGCGGGTGCATTGTTGTTTCCTGATTCCCGTTGGAGGGGGACCAGGCGGTGGTGGTACTGCTGATTTGTTTTCCTATTGTTGGCGAGGTCTCATCGGTGGCAGGTGTTACAGTCAGCCCGCATGGTAAGGATGGGCAACCTTCCCAACCAAGGGCAGCCTGGCAGCATTGCCTCCTCGGTCCATCCTTGGCCGCTTCCGTTGGCCGCGCCCCGCTCGAAAAGTTTCGAGATGGGCGTCCAAGGCCCTTGCATTCTTATCGTGCATCCTTTCGGGCCGGACGGCATGGAGGGGATAGGGAAAGGGGGGTTACGAAATCTGCTGCATTCAGCTGGTTTCGGCCCCGCCGCCGGGCCCATTCCTCGATGCACAGGCGCCTCCTGGCGCCGGGAGGCGCCGGGAACGTCAGCTGCGTGAGTTGATTCTCTAACCTACCCTTTTCTATCCCCCCCCTTCCTTCCCCCCCGAGATGGGCGTCCAAGGCCCTTGCGTCCGTACAGGCGGCCCGGCTTAGTAGGTCGACCCTGCCAGATCAAGGGTACCCTCGTGTCCTGTGTCTCGCGACCCATGCTTCGTACATTCCTGTGGCGATGTGGCCCTCGAAAGGGTCTTGTGTCCTCTCGCGTGTCCTCTCCAATCAAGCCCGACTGTATCGTGCATCCTTGCGATGCGGGCCGACTGTCTGAGCAAGCGAGCGACGAGGGCGGCGCCTCGTGGGCCGCCTCCACGCGACGAGGCCGGCGCGGGTCCCGGGCCTCCGCGCCTCGGTCGCCTGCGTGGGCGCGCGGATTGCTCCCCCCGTTGAGCCTGCCTGCAGAGGGTTCTTGTTTTTTGTTCAAGGTTGGTGCCTCGAGGGCGCTTAGTTTTGAGTCGGGCCTGTCCCCCTACAGGGGGAGTTTCGACGAAAAATTAGACATGCCCCAAAAGTGGTCAAAAAATAGTCCCAAAGTAGTCTGGGGACTATTTTTGGATTCTTTTTGGGCCTTTCTGGGGTATTTGGGTTTTTTTGTTTTCAATGTTTGTCGAAAATCCTTATGTAGGGGGACACGCCCGACATAAGCTTAGTTTGCCCGTTCCCTGGAGAGTCGTCGGGTGCACCAGGCTCCCCCAGCTCCCAGGGATTCCTCGGGTGCCCCAGGTTCCACGGGTTCCCCGGGGTTCTTCGGGTTCCCGGGAGTTCTTCGGGTTCCCCGGGCTCCCCAAGTTCTTCGGATTCCGGGTTCCCCGGGTTCCCGTGTTCGAGACAGTGCCAAGCAAGGCAAGCATTGCGCCCATGCAATAGGAAGTTTTCCCCTACTTGGTGTCGCGCTGGGTGCATTACATGTTGCTGCAGGCCTGGCGACCTGCTTGTCTTTCGCACGCGGCCTCGTGCCCAGCCTGCGCGGGGCCTGCGGGTACGGCGCCCTGGGCCAGCCGTCCGCGGCGATGACGTGCTATGGCGCCCTGGAGGCGACCCGCCTCAACCCCCCCTCGCGCGTTGACGCGAGCAGGAGATAGTGTTAAGTCGGACATATCCTTCTGAAGAAAAATATCCAAAAGTAGTGGAAACATTGTATGGGGAGGGACGATGTTTATATCATGTTGTTATGTTGCGTTATGTTTGAGCATTCTCTGATTTGTTTACATTTCATTTCCAAAACCCACGTATAGGAGGACATGCCCGACCTACAGATATTGGGTGTGGGACATGTGAGCGACGCAACAAAAAAAAAACGGGTCGTCGGCGCCGACGTTGGCGCGTAAGTTGCCCGAGTAAAGTCGCGCGTGAGCGCCCTGGTCTCCGATGTGGCGTGCCGCACGGGCGGCCCGCGTAAGCCACCGCGCAAGGTCGCTGTGTCATCTCGCCCACGTGCATGCGTTGCAGCTTCGAGGGGGCCTTGTCTGTCGTGCGAACTGCGGCCGTCTCATTGTGTCTGTCGCTTCAGTGCTTCGGCGCCGATTGCGGGTCGATGGTGGGGCGAGGTCAATTCCTCTTCCTCCTCCTCCTCCTCCTCCTCCTCCTCCTCCTCCTTCTCCTGCTCCTCCTCCTCCTCCTCCTCCCCTCCTGCGCCTCCTCCTCCCCCTCCTCCCTCCTCCTCCTCCTCCTCCTCCGCCTTCGCCTCCTCCTCCACCGTCTCCTCCTTCTCCTCCTCCTCATCCTCCTCCTCCTCCGCCTCCTCCTCCTCCTCCTTCTCCTCCTCCTCTCCTCCTCTATCCTCCCTACCTCCTCCCCTCCTCCCCCTCCTCCCCCCGCCTTCCCCTCCTCCCGTCCCCCACCTCCCTCTCCTCACTCCTCCGCCTCCTCTCCTTCCTCCGCCTCCTCTCCGTAGCCATTTTGGCTCAAGATGGGTTGCTCGGGGGGCTTTCAGCCTCCGTGCTTCACTGGATCGCACTACCGTGCGCAGGCAAGAGTGTGTGCACTCTGGCAGTCGGGCGGCCTCCTTCCAAACTCACGCGCGCCATGGCGGGGAGCGGCGGTGTGGGTGCTGGGCGTGGGGGAGGCGGCCGTGCGGCGTGGCCTGCGAAGTGGAAGTGCTCGGTGTGCGGCTACTACAACTTCGCCGAGAGGACGTGCTGTCGCAAGGGGTGCCAACCTGCGGGGTGGCCAGCGCCGCGGCAGCTGGGCGCCTTTCCTCCGCTGCGTGGGTGGCATGCAGGCGGCGGCGGTGGTGGTGCTCCTGGCGGCGCTGGCGGCGGGCTCGGCGGGCGTGGGGCTGGCGGCGGCAAGCCTCCCACTCGTGCCCCGTGGTGGCGTGGGGGAGAAGGTGGCGGCCGTGACGCTGGAGGCGCCGTGGTGCTCAGTGAGGAGCAG